TGGAAAACTAGAGGAGCTTTTTTTCCCACTGGAAGAGTGTACATTCCCTTGCCTTCCTAAAGAAGGTAAGCAAATACGGTGCAGTGGATACGCCTGATGGATTAATTTAGTGTCAGGCCAGCCACAGAACCTGCTGCAATACCATGAGTTCTCATCTGATTAATATTGCTGTGTCCCTGCTTCTCACCTCACCGTGATGACTATTGGTTAGCACACCTCGGACACTGACCAGGAACAAAACACTGACAGCAGTCTGGTCCCCTGCAACTGCAGAAACCTACTGAAAGAAATTCAGTGCTCTGGTGATAGGGGGTTTTTTGGTCCATTTCACATGATTCTATGTAGCCAACCACAAACACCTCCAAACTCTGGGGGTTTTTTTTGGTCCATTTCACATGATTTTATGTAGCCAACCACAAACACCTCCAAAAGGCAACTTCTAGGTACATTCCTTTTCTGTAGTTTAAATCCATGCTCATACTGCATGATGCATGAGGAGGGGGAGTGCAAACCATAGCCAGTGCTCTCCAGGTATTGTCCTTTACAACTGAACCCAAGAAGCACTAGCCCCCTCATTTTTTTTGGTCCATTTCACATGATTTTATGTAGCCAACCACAAACACCTCCAAAAGGCAACTTCTAGGTACATTCCTTTTCTGTAGTTTAAATCCATGCTCATACTGCATGATGCATGAGGAGGGGGAGTGCAAACCATAGCCAGTGCTCTCCAGGTATTGTCCTTTACAACTGAACCCAAGAAGCACTAGCCCCCTCAAGCACACAAGCTACCTAACCTCCTAATCACCCTGTTCTTGTCTATGTGATGCTAAATCAAATAATTCTAGCCAAGAATGAGTCTTTAAATGGAGCTGTGAAAACAGCAGACAAGTTAATAGCTCTGTAAATCTGTGAGGCATAGAATTAGAGAGTGGACTAAGCAGGTGAAAAGGCCAACCTCAGGAAAGGACTTTTGTAGTGATTATTGCAATCATCTAACAGGCAAGACTGAGGGAAATGTGGTGTCCAGCACAAAGAGTGAGGAAGGGAAACTGGGATTTGGACCTGAATTCTATCGCTGTATTACCCTCTGAACTGCTGCATAGCTTTGGGTGGCACTCATCACTGTTTTCCCTTGGCAAAATGGGATTGCATTTATGTCATGTACAAAGATTTCAAGAACACCAAGCAGTGGTTCAAAACCCATGTGGTTTACTTAGTCATGGCCATGCTCAGAGAACAGATATCTCCAACCCACAGCAGTGGCAAACTGCCAAACTGCTTGCTAAAAAGGTTTTGTGGTTTTAAGGCTTTTTGTTTTGTTTTGTTTTATGCATCTCTTCGTTGTCTTTCATGTCATATCTTCTATAATCTGTATCAAGCCTGAGCAAACATCTGACTGCAACTATCCTATCTAATTACTAACTACATCCTTCTATCAATAGATAGCTGCCATTTCAACCCTTCTTGTCTTTACTAATTTTCCTCATATGCCTGCAGAATAAGTGATTGCTAAGATGTCCATGACACAGGCAGGTGACTAAAATGGAAAGATAATGTGTCTCATCTGTGTGTGAAGCTAAATTGTACCTGGATCTCCTCAATTCCCAAGTACTAGCCGTTTTCTTTCCAAGCACAGGTTTCTTCTATCTGGAAGCTGTTGGAATAGTACTGAAAAAGGAGTGAGCTTCTAGTCCCTGAGGAAATACTAAGCTGGAAGCCCACACCCTTTTTCAGAAAAATCTCTCCAAGTGTTACCAGAAATGAAGCCACAAGTACCTTATTTCTGGTCAAATGACCATTTCATTGATGGCAAATTTCAGATATACTTTTGAGGGATGATTAACTTGCATGCCTCAATCTTACATGGGAAAAAAAAAGCTAACTGAGTTTCATCTTATGGAAATGAGTTTTCTATAATTGCAAAAATAATACGGTATTTCTGTGGAAAATTCAGTGTCAAGTGGCTCCAGCAATTTAGGATGTCTGATGCTGCACAATCACTATAATTAATTACCATCATCTTACAGAATTGGTTCTAATTAGCTGACGCCTTTCCACTAAGAATATATCTAGAGCATCTTCATATTGCAAATCCATGCCAATTTTTTTTTTTTACCCAAAAGCTCAAACTTCGCAGTCAGTATACAGGATATTTTGTGACATGAGGAAGACATAATTTAGCTGAGTTTGCTATTAAATTCATACAAATAGCAAAAAATAAGGCTCTGCTACCTGTAAAGCAAGGAAATAAAGGCTATTAAGATTTTAGAGTTTCGGGGTCAAGGGCTGTATGTGTGGGGGTTTTGCTTGGAGCTTGTGATTTGTGGCACAACCTGTACTGCCATGGAAGCAAATATCCCACCATGGCTGTGAGAAGGGTGATGGCAAATGTCTTCCATGAGGAGCTCTTCTCCTGGAATACCTTCACATAGTTCATCACAGAGTTTCACTTTGAAATTGTAAAGCTGACCCATTTTTTGCAGGCTTTTGTAGAAAGACAGATGGAGGGATGTGCTACTGAAATTTTGCAGGTTGTAGTGGGGGGAAGGAATATTTCTGTGGTGAGAAATGGATTCTTTTCCTCTCTTTGTAAAAGCAGTGCACTGTAACAAGTGATTCCTTTAAATAATAAGAAAGACAGACTATCTTATAAGCCCTTCCAAATCTCACAACATTTGTTATATTCACTGAACACTTTCATTAGGATTGCTAAAGATAAAGCCTCTCTGCTTCTTTGTATCCTCACAAAAGCTTTTAAAAGTGTGGACTTATATCTGCAGGAAACAACTATTATTAATGAAGCAGCTGGATTTCTTTTTAAATAGGTTACTTTGCAGCAATTTGCTCTGCTAATTCTTAACAGAAATGCTGAGATATATCTACAGTGCTTTGGGATGTTGAATATTATCTAAAGTACACTTTAAAAGCATTTTAGAAGAATAACCCATCTCTGAAGTGTGAATTGATATTGTAAAATAATATACAGGGATAACAGCTGCAGAAATTATTAGCTCACATTTTCCCCCAGCAGTTTTGCTTCGAAATATATCCAATGCAATGTGAGAAGTATTACTTCACAGTAACATCATAATTTTGCTGATGTCAGTTTCTATTAAAGAATTCTAATAAGTAGTAACTATTCTGATAAATGAATGCATGTGAAGAAAAACTGGAATATAGGTATCATACCAGAGGAGTTCAGAGAAAGGTAATTCTCTCTCATTAATTATTTCATTACTTGGTTTTATTCTCTTCTGTGAAATTCTGCACACACACACACACACACACACACACACACACACACACACACAGACAGTTCAATGTTTCAGGCCCAGTCAAGTCTTCCTGGGACACACACAGACAGTTCAGTGTTTCAGGCCCAGTCAAGTCTTCCTGGGGCACTGCTGAAAAATTACAAACCAGGGAAACTGCAGGTACTAAAATCTGTGGCAGTCTGTCTGCTACAGATGGATAAACAGATGAGCCACAAAGGCAAGGGAGATGATTTTCAAAAACCACCCAGTTTCAAAGACATGGATGATGTCAAATGCTTCATAAAAATAACTTGATTTTGAGAAATCAGCTAATTCTCATCAGAAACTGTGGTGTTGCTATGTTTCTGACGACATAACAGAGATCTGGTATGTGTGTTGACAATGGAAAATAAAAAACTATTTGTGAGAGTCAGTGGACAACAAGAAATGCTAGAGAAAATAGACTACAGAATAATGAAAAGCAAAAGGAAGGGAGAATCAGTGTCTAGAAATGTCTAAGATAATGGCTCTGATGTACTTTCAGGGTAGTATCCTTTGTTGCAGATGCTCTGCTCTTGTGGCTACCCCTTTTCCTAACCTGCTGTCAAACAAGTACTCCCTGTATGACTTTCTCTTGCTCTCCCTGATCTAAGTCTTCTTTCTAAAATGTTGGCTGTTTTCCCCTCCTGCTTATTCTCTCTTTTCTTTTACCAGTTCCTCCTTCCTGCTCCCAAAGCATCCTTCAATCACCATTATACAGATTGTCACTCACATATTTTCACAGCTCCTGGTTGAAAGTCTCTCCTTTGGGATAGCCTTTCAAACAAGTTCAGAAACCCACAGTCCCTCTACCCCTTGCCCACAAGCCCAGTTGTCCCATTCTACAAGATGGCAATGGCAAGGCAGTGGGCTAGTAAGGGCTGATGTTTACTTTTTAAGACAAATTTCAAATACTTGACCTTAAAAATATTCACACAGAGTCTTATGTCAGTGGGTCTCTGGAGCATTTCCAGGGGTTCTGTTAACAAAAGGACTATTTTAGGATAAGTTTAGCATGTGTGGGGGTCATCCTTTCCTTCTACTTATCTAAGAAAAAACAAGTACAGTTGTGAAAACATATTATTCAGGTTTTCTGTAGTCCTTCTTTAATATTTATTAGTGACCTTTGGGAGTTAATTAATGCCAGGACATTTCATCCATGGACTATTTTCTAATTCAATTTGTTAAATGCAAGTGGCCATAAATAATTATAAATCAATTACTGAGTATATTCTACACTTCACCAACCAAAAAAGTCAAAACATTATTTTTGAAGGTGATTGAGAAAAATGAACCATTTCCATAAGGCTAGGCATGCTTCGATTGCTTATGCTTCAATTTATCTTTTCTAGCACAAAAATACTATTTGAAATACATTTTGCTAAATATGGAGACTACTTTTGTAGAAGAAATCAATTATATTCTTAAGTTTAAATCTTCTTTTTTTTCCCAGTCATGCTCTAATGTATCACTGTACCTCAGAAATGTACAGAAATCAATTATATTCTTAAGCTTAAATCTTCTTTTTTTACCAGTCATGCTTTAATGTATCACTGTACCTCAGAAATGTACCCTGGGGAAAATGGTTCTATTCTTCACTAAAAATCCATGAATAACATTATGTAGAAATTAATTTGTGATAAATGATTTAAAATCTTAACCTAGAATGGTGTTTTATTCAAATGTCATCAGAAAATGGCACCTCACCCGCAGAAAGGAGTCTAGGGATCCATTCTCCATGTATTCAACTACAATCATTACTGGTCTGCCTGCAAAACAGCAAAGAAACACATTAGGATTATAGACATATTATGGGGATTTTATAATTCCAGCTGTTATGCACAGATTATTCACAGCAGTTAAGTATGTTACATATTTTCAAAATCCTCATTTATATCACAAACACAATTCCCTGGTTACTCCCTAAGAATTATTTTCTTATTATTATCTTCTTTTCTTTTTTGGTACTGGATTAGCTGAATGTACATCATCCACTCCGGTGTATTCTCCCCTTAAAAAAGATCAGAGAAGAGCCTGCTATCTTCAAATAGCAACATTTGCTATGTCATATTTTGGAATATATTTGAGTTAAGGCAAAACCAAATATTCATAAGCCATGTCCAAGTAATTACAAACTCAGTGCCATAATTTTCCTCTCAAGATAAACTATCTCAGTGACTTAGGGACATACAAGACAGAGAGAATGGGATGTCACAAAAAACCCTCTCCTAGATTGTGTCTGAGTATTGAATGTGTATAGTCCAGAAAAACTAAAATAATACATTTGTATATATATAACATATATATACAGTGTTACTCAAATCAAAGTTTTGCTCAACCAGCACAATTTTCCTGTATGGTTCCAGAGTGGGACCATATCCAAATTGATGTAGGAAAACACATTACATTTATTTATTAAAAAGAGATCAAAAGCTGAAGATAAAATTTTAAACTGGATGCTTAACTTACCATTTCACTGCTGGTACCCTTGAATAAGCTACCACTGTAGAACTGCTTGGCAGGACAGGCCCAAATAACCTGCTAACCAGGCTGCACAGCAGTAAGTTTTTCAGAATTATTAATATTACAAAGGAGCTATTCTAATATATGAAAAATGAATATAATGAAGAAGTGTGTTAGCAAGATTGGGAAGGAGGTAGAGAGTCTTAAAATGGCAAATTTTTCTTTCCCTGAGAATGCCTGTCTCTTTTGGAGTTTGTGGGAAACCAGGGGTGTGCCAAGTGGTGACACCACAAGTCTGCCATTTCACTTTCTTGATACACTAGCTATGATGATATTTTTCAAATCCATAAAAGAGATTCTTTCATCACTTTTTTTTACCAATGCCTCTCAAATTATGCTTGTGTTTCATCTGGATGAGGGGATGAGAAAAAACCACAGTGTTCAGGGTGATAAAATGTAGCAGGGCATTTTGATTGTTGTAGCACAATTGTCCATTTGTGTTCAGCTTGGTTAATAGTGGAAGTGTTTATTGAACTGTCCAAGATATACAATAAGCCACAGTCAGGTATTTCTCCTGAGCTGTTACAGTCAACCTTCAATTTTAAAAAATGAATGAGCTGTTTCTCTGTTCATTTCAGTATGTCGACTTGCAGTTCCGGGTACCCTGGTTAAGCTCATTCACATAGCTTAATCTAGTCTTTCCATAGTTCCTCACAATATTATCTCATTTCCTCTAATAAAATTTGTGATTTTTTCTGGATTAACCCTCATGCTTAGGTCCTCAATGGATAAACCAGTGCTCTATAGTGTTGGCACACTTTTTTTCTGTGTGAAAATTCTCAGATGCCTTAATAGTCTTCTTGGGTAGCCTTTTGGAAGTGTGAAGAATTACCAACTTTTGTCTGTTGAATTGAATATTTAGTCTCAGCTGTAGATGTGCATCTGCCACCAAATCAATTATATTTATCTGCATCCATTGGTTGTACCCTAGTTTTGTATTATAAGCTTAAATGATGCATCACTTTTAAGCTCTTAGAGATCACAATATTTTAAAAATTTATGTTTTCTTTACTTCAGCTTGCTAATGATGACTAGTTCTACAGCCTAGTCCCTTTAGTTTCAAACACATGAATGACCTAGATTCCCTTACCTTTATCATTTGCTTACTGTCAAGGGGCTGACATCTCCATGTGAAAGGAATATCCTGTAGTCTAGAGAAGTAAACAAACAGCAGTCTGATGCTAGAGGATCTTACTATATGTGTAACTCTCTTAAGAAGGTAGTAATTTCTAAATTGTTGCAGACAACAGCATTTTTCAATAGGGATGTAAAGCTGGTTTTCAGATGGTATATTTTGTCAGGCATAAGTTACCCAGAAATTTCTCTGCCTGAATAAAACAACAACTGAAACAACTTCTTGGGAAATTTGCATTTAAAGAGAATGACAAATGGAGCTACTGAGCTTCAAAACAGTGCCCTTGATTTCCTCTGGGTAACCCTTTAGCATCTACTCCAGAAGCTATTCTGCAATGTTTTCTAGAGTTTCACAGGCTCTCATGACAGCTTTCATGCTCCTTAGATTCATATTCTTCAACACAAATTATTTTCATACTTATTTTATAATGCAATTTTTAATTCTTCTACATTCTCTCACAAAATATTCCCCTCTCCAAAAAAAAAATTCCCAACAAACTCTACTTGTTTTGCTCAGACCCTCTGTTCATATGAACTTCTAGGTTATGAAGTGTATCTATATGCATTTATCTGTGGATGTTAAAAAAGTGATTTCAGGTTTTTTTCACTGGATAATGTTTATGAGTTTTTAAACCACTCAATGTGGTCCTTGAATGACTTTAAATGTTATGCCTTAACACAAAGCCAGCTATTCCACGTGACAGCACAGGAATGGCAGGATCCACTAAATGCACCAAAATAAGTAGCATTTTTCTTCAAAGAAATTGCTGTATATTGGAAGATCAGCATATCATCAATAAATTTAGTCACATGGGCTGATAGCTTCCTATCAACTCCGACTATATTACTCACCATTCTACCTAAATTTCTAATGAAATTGATGCAAGATTGTGTCAAGACACCACAATATGTCAAGACATCACAAAATTCATCTAGCTCCATTGCGTGATTATCTTAAGCAAAAATCTCGAATCTGGATCCAAACACTAACTCCTTAAATAATCTTCTTTTAGTGTGACAGCACTTGATAAAAGCCATGCTATTTTCACTCTAAGTTTAATGTATCACTGAAGTTATTTATGTATTCCAAGCTGGACTGTGACAGTCAGTACAGCGACACTTTTAGTCAGCATAGTATTTGTCTTTGGAGGACTTGTCAATAAAAATGTCTCAGATATTGTCATGGTTGCTTGAAGATATTGTAAAAAATTCTGGTGCAGCAGATTCCAGTGGGTACCTTTATCATCAAAGTGGTAACACAGGCTCTACTGCCAGCAAACAATTTTTTTCCAATAATTGTATAGGTTTGCACATTTCATACAAGGATCTATAAACATTTTATAAATGTAAGTATACCAAGTATCAGGAAACAATGTAGGACACATCTCGATTTCGAAAGTGTGGTAGAAAATACAGTTGCATGAACAGACTCCCCAGTTCACAAATGTTTCTCCAGAGCAGTTGGCTCTGGAGAAGCTGGCTGAGACATGAGGCTGAACAGCTGACTTCAGCACATCCAAGGGTAGAATCCACCACTGAGGATCTCAGTCCAGAGACCAAGTCACCAGTCCCAAGGGCAGGCAGTAGGACAGACTGGACTGCAGTCTGGTCTGCCTGATCTCCAAAGGGTCAGAGGGTGGCAGCCACTCAGGGCTTCTACGGAACAAAGGCTCTGGATGACTTCAGCTGAAGTCAGTTTCATTTTAGCTCCAGAGAGCAGATGCTATCCTTTATACTGTGGTACAATTTGAGTCCAGAAAAACTTGTCTGTGCCGAACCCCTGTACAAACACAAAATACTGCTTCTGCTTTAAAAAGGACTACATTGACTTTGAAAAGCAATACTGGGAGATTTCAAAACTAGTGTAATATTTGCCTCTAGACAAAGAAAAAAAAGACTATTACTTAGATTATGAAAATGTATGTTGTTCTCATGGTACTAAGAAAGATGAATTCTTCATCCTCAAAACAAGGACAGGAATGAATAAATAGGAGGGGGGCAGAGAAGGCTCCAAGACAGAGAAGCAATCTTTGATTATTTTATCAAGAGGTAGGCTAATGCAATGCTGGAAGGCATTGAATTATCTTCCTAGGATTGCTTAGAGATACAAAACATGGACAAGTTAAAAAAACAGGTTTAAGAACAAACAGCAGTGGGATACAGAGGGGAGTTGGGAAAGCACTCCGGGCTCAGAAGAACATCACAGGCTGCAGCACAGAGACAGCTGTGGCAGTGCTGTGGGATGCTGTTACATGAGTCCTTGTGAGAGCTCACACATAGCTCCAGAGGTCCTTGTAGAGGCAAGAGAGCACACAGCAAAGGGCACTCCTGTGACCAATGATGATGTACACAGATGGGTGCATGTCATCAGGCACTAAGACACACAATGTCTAGTTCAAAGACTTGACCAATTCAGGTGTTTTCACACAGATACAGGCATAGGCACTGGAGAAGTATTTGGAGAAGAACTATGTTAATTTTACAGTCAATATCCACATAAGATAAGAAATGGAAAAAGGACACTGAAAAAGGTGTCAGCTTGGGCTGAGGACTTGGAATCAAGGAGCTAAAACCTGCAGATAGTGCTGGAGGAGGGCACAAAACTTCTCATTTGAATTGGGGGGAGGACAAAATATAAAAAGGTTTGAAGATGGATTCAGTGATCAAATCAGTCAATTGTTTTGATGCAACTAATGCCTTTGTGACAAGACACTGACTGGTTTTGATAACTTTCCCTAAGAAAGTTATTCACTGGAATTCTCCCACCCAGCTGTACTGCAACGCCATTCAAATAAAACCAGCATAAATGACAAACAATCTGTATTGATGTTATGCCACCTGACAATATGTTTCAATGTTGTATTTTCCTTGATCAATCTGCTTGACATTTTTTTAATAAGAACAAAATAGAAGAAAGCCATACATTGCAGAATAATGTAAAGTACCGATTATATCTAAAACTCACGTCGTATACATTTTCAGTTCTCTATTTTTTTTCCCACAACCCAAGATTTTGATAGCATGCAATTTAATTGAGTGCTAGAGTGATGAATAAGGAGGAGAATTTGAAGTGTCATATCAATGACAAAATATTCAGCTTGTTGTCTCCTGT